TTCCATCCCATCAAATTCCAGCTTTTCCAAGAGAAAATTCCAGGAATTTTTGGAGGTTTCCATCCCATCAAATTCCAGCTTTTCCAAGAGAAAATTCCAGGAATTTTTGGAGGTTTCCATCCCATCAAATTCCAGCTTTTCCAAGAGAAAATTCCTGGAATTTTTGGGGGGGTTCCATCAAATTCCAGCTTTTCCAAGAGAAAATTCCAGGAATTTTTGCCTTTCAATCCCAAATTCCATGAAATTCCCAGATTTTTTCCCCCAGGCTCGAATCCCTTCGAATTCCGCTTTTCCCAAGCCCGGAATTCCAGGAATTTTCTCTCTTTTCCCGACTTTTCCCGCTGGAAATCCTTGGAATTCTCTTTCCCGCTCCAGGTTTTTCCCGGGATCACCGGGACGAGCTCCTGGAGGGGCTCCAAGAGCTGAAGGAGGGGCTGGAAAATCCCGATTTTTCCGTCCTTTTCCACACCTGCACCCGCCTGGCCTCGGTGAGAAACGGGCAAATTCCCGGAATTTTGGGAAATTTGGGAATTCTGGGAATTTGGGGGGAACTTGGGGAATTTTTTTGGATTTTTTGGGGATTTTTTTGGGATTTTTTGGGGATTTTTTTGGGAATTTTTAGGGGGTTTTATAGGATTTTTAGGGGTTTTTTGGGGTTTTTTTGGGAATTTGGGATTTTTTTATGGAATTTCAGAATTTGGGGAATTTGGGGGAATTTTGGGAATTTTTTTGGGAATTTTTAGGGGGTTTTATGTTAATTTCTAGGGGATATTTTAGGCTTTTTTTTATTTTGGGGTTTTTTTTGGAATTTTTAAAATTTTTATGGAATTTCAGGGTTTTGGGGATTTGAGGGAATTTTGGGAATTTTTTGGGAATTTTTTGGGAACTTTGGGGGAATTTTTTGGGAATTTTTGGGGAATTTTTGGGGAATTTTTGGGGAATTTTTTGGGAATTTTTGGGAATTTTTGGGGAATTTTTTGGGAATTTTTTGGGAATTTTTTGGGAATTTTGGGGGAATTTTTTGGGAATTTTTGGGGAATTTTTGGGGAATTTTTGGGGAATTTTTTGGGAATTTTTGGGAATTTTTGGGGAATTTTTTGGGAATTTTTTGGGAATTTTTTGGGAATTTTGGGGGAATTTTTTGGGAATTTTTGGGGAATTTTTGGGGAATTTTTTGGGAATTTTTGGG